AGATGTGCGTGACATGCAAGATCGTCGGCGCAGGATGAGACGGAGTGAGGGAAGCAATCGAACCAATGGTGATCGCTCCAGCTATCTCAGAGACGCCATGGACATGACCGTGATCGGCCTTGCCCTTGCCCTTGTCCTGGTTCTTCCCACTGCGCTTGCCTTGACGGTTCTTCTTCTTCCCATCAGCCTTATCACCCTTATCGGGTGCAGAGCCGGAGCCCTGTTGCTGATTAGAGAAGGAAGGGTCGTCGCGCTTACGCTTGGTATTGAACTTGGTGACCTGATTCTTGTTGCCGTGGTTCTGAGTGTAATAGCTCAAGAGAGCCTCACGAACAACTTTGATCGTCATCTTGTCCTTCGGAGTATTCTGAAGAACATGTGTGGTCACCGCGGAGATGTGGGCGACGTTCAGGATGATCATCGCCTTGAGAAACTCAGGGATTTTCAAATCCTGCTCATCGAGACGCTTGAAGGCGGTTTTGGGGATCAGGAGCTGAGGATCCGGATGCAGGGTGGCGTTGTACTTGGCGTCCAATGCCGACTGGAACAGCGCAAACAGGTCCGCAGACTTGGTGCCGCTATATTGTTCAGTCAGATAGTTCCAGATCCCAGCAGCGGAAGTCGCATTCAATTCTGGAATGTTAGCCCTAACAACCTCGGTCAGGCGCAACTTAATGCTGCCTTTGGCCTTTAGGTCATCGGTCTTCCATTGGCGAATGTCGGATTCGTTGGTAACTTCTCCATCGTCGTTTGTGATGCGAGTAGGACATTTCTCGAGGATCACATAGGCAATGCCTTGAGATTCCAAGAAGGAAGTCATGAGACTCTCCCAAGAAGCCCAGTTCTTGCCATCGAAGATTGCGACAGAGGAGAGAAGAGAGTTGGACATGTTAGATCTGTGTGAGGCATCAGTATCAATCTAATCTGATAGATGAAATCAAAGATCAAGATGATCAGATCCTCATAGATCATAATCTCCTTTAGAGATCGATGCATCTGGATCAAGCAATGTAATCGCGATCCAGCATGGTTTCACCAGCGCTGTGCAGCAGCTGAAGTGAATACAGATAGGCTAAAGACGCTGCTCATTGTTGCAGCCAGTGACGGCGCATACAATGAATGTCGCGGCCATTGAGGCGCAGACATAGCTCTCGGGGCCCATAACCTGTTGAGCACTGGGGAGAGCGTCTAGCAGCTCACCTGTGTGAGTGAGAGCTTAGTGTGGGCACTATGCGGGAGTAGTCAAGAGACTTGTATTAAAGGGTAATAGAGCCCTCCTTATATATGATACAGGGGGCTGTTTGTGTCTATTTGGGACGAGTTGATATGACTCTAGATGACACGTGATGGAGTCATAGATGTGTATCACAACATCCATCTTGACAGATGATATTTGATCAACAGTCTACAGGTGAAATAGAGTCTTACCATTACTTGGGTGTGAGTGAGGACTGACGAGATCTCATTGTCTACATATTGTAGTGTTCGAGGTTGTAGTCATTGTTGTGAATGACAGTTTTGGTCCCAGGTGTGATTTTGCAGAGGGTTGGATCAAATTGAGGCCAGTTGTCAAGGGACTGGGGGAGGACAGAGGGGATCTGTTCAGCAACAGGTGGTACACCAGCAAGTGGGGGGCTTGGTGGTAGGGACGGTAGTTGATGGGATGGGTGAGAGCAGAGCGACGGCAGGCTTGGGCGAGTGAAAGAGACACATTTTGGATAGAGATGGGCAGGTGACAGACGTGCTGAGATTGGAGGTAACACATGAATTGCTATGTACAGCCGTGGTGAATGTGGAGATATCTTTGAGGGGGGGCCAACCTCCACATCTGCCTGTGTTACATCAACCATCTCCATTTTCTCTGTCTCCTCCTCTGTCTCGACCACTTCAAATTTTCCTGCCAACAGCAAACCAGGAGAAGCGGAATCTTCCAATCAGGTGTTGTATTCCTTGAACACTTTAGTCTGTGGGCATCTGTTTTGGCGTGCAACATGATCCTGTAAGGAGGATGAGCATGGTGGTATGACACGGGAGGATGTGTTACCCAGAATGCGTGGGGACTGTGGTGTTGGAAGAGACAGCAGAGACAGGAGAAGAGGCTGTCTGCACCACGGTTGAAGGTGATCAGCCGCCTAGTTGATGTATCCGTCACACCCTGTCAATGTTGTCGAAAGTTGCCTTGCTTGTCAATGCACTCTCCACACTCATAATTCGCTCTTTTTGATGGCCTTGTTGATCCGGTGACGCTGTTCCGTGTTCTCCCGAGGCGTGCGTGGCTTACAATGGTACACTCGACCACACACGCGTCCCATAAAGCACGCTCCATCCTTTTTTGTTCGTGCACTTCATGTTTGCGTCTTCAATATAGTGTTTTAAACAGTTATAACTATTTTTATTTTCATTTTGTTTAGGGCATGGTATACACAATAAACAAAAATTTAGTAAATGTTTAAATGGTTTCTTCTGGGGCTAACTGATCCTGTGTCTTAACTTCCCTGCACACTTGTCCCTAGTCTCTTTTACTGAATTCCCGCTCATACCTCGTTCCTAAACATGTCTCACACCGCTGCCACAACTTAATTCAATTTACTGCTGACTTGCTCCTGCTCATTGCTCATCCAATTGACCCTGCACATGCAGCTCCCCGCCTTGCTGGATTGCTTCAGTCTTTGAAATTTTTAGTTCCCTCTATTGTATTCGTTCATTTCATCTTAATCTAGATCTGTTTCCTCATTTAATACACCGCTGATTTCCACCTGCCCTGCCCGAATATAGCAACCAATCGGTTGGTGTGATCAGATGTCTACCCGCCAACTGATTGGTGTGCTTTCAGGCTCATTCTCATACCCTCCCTTAATACTGCTCAATACCTCTGAACAAATGACTTTGTGCTCAGCGCGAACATTGTCCTCGGCACATCGGCACACCATCACCCCCCGGTTCCGACCTTCCGATGTCCCAATACATCCCGAGTTTCCTGATGATGTCTTCTCATCACCTGTCAACGTCGTTGTCACCGCCAGCCAGACGCCGCCGTCCGCCGCCCCGCCGCCCCGCCGCGCGCCTTTACTCATTATAGTCTTATGTAATAAAATTTTAGTAATCTACTAAGTAGCCACGCCAACCAATGATGGGTCAATCTTAACTTTCACAAGATCCAAGGGCGGACATGGCGCCGTGGGCGCCGCACTGGGTGGTGCAGAGATGGGATCAAAGTGAAAGTGCCACGGAGGGCCGCAGATGTCACACTAGAGTGCCACAGCAACCTTATCTCTGCAGCACCTCTGGAGAGCATTGCAGGTATATCCGACATTATCTGTGCCAGTCAATCCCTGATGTATTGAAATGGATTAGTCAAATTTCAATAGAATTGAATATGTAGATGTCCCAAAAGCCTGTCTTTAGATCATAGGTCTCTATGATGCCTAAGTGATTGTCTTGAGCTCATTAACCACCGGAAGGGTGGACTTGACTTAAAATTATGGAGAGCATTTTTTTTATTACAAAGATACTCCAAAGAGTTTTGAATACCAACTCTTGTATATGATTCAAGTTCAAAATGAATACCAAACAAGTTATACACATTCTAGTGAACATGAATCCATGAGGTATTGTTTTGATATTTTGGTGCTGGTGAATGCCTCTAACTATTGTATAAACCAATAGATGTAAAGTATAGATCATCTTCAATTTCACTCTGGGCTCTGCAATGAAGTGGACTCACAAGAGTGAGTAAAAATGGCCATTCAGAAAGCTGTTGAACTACATTGATGGGACATCAGTGCCGCCGGCCCGCAAGGACCGTTGCTCAGAAACATAGGTGAAAATGCATCAGCCTGGCAATCATTCGTTCTGGTGCTTTCAATGAAATTATCAAAATATGTACATTTAAGTATCCTGCCTCGTAGGTTGCTGCGGCACTCCAGTGTGACATCTGCGGCCCTCCGTGGCACTTTCATGTAGCCCTGCCAAAGCGCCCACTGCATCATGTCTGCACTTTGATCCCATCTCTGCACCACCCAGTGCGGCGCCCACGGCGCCATGTCCGCCCTTGGATCTTGTGAAAGTTAAGATTGACCCATCATTGGTTGGCGTGGCTACTTAGTAGATTACTAAAATTTTATTACATAAGACTATAATGAGTAAAGGCGCGCGGCGGGGCGGCGGGGCGGCGGACGGCGGCGTCTGGCTGGCGGTGACAACGACGTTGACAGGTGATGAGAAGACATCATCAGGAAACTCGGGATGTATTGGGACGTCGGAAGGTCGGAACCGGGGGGTGATGGTGTGCCGATGTGCCGAGGACAATGTTCGCGCTGAGCACAAAGTCATTTGTTCAGAGGTATTGAGCAGTATTAAGGGAGGGTATGAGAATGAGCCTGAAAGCACACCAATCAGTTGGCGGGTAGACATCTGATCACACCAACCGATTGGTTGCTATATTCGGGCAGGGCAGGTGTGATTTCGTATTTTCCTTTTGCCTCAAATAACTAATCGTTTAAAAGGTTTTAAACAGTTTCTTAAACATTTGTAACCGATTTCATTTATTTTAGGGCCAGTGCTACTTTCACAAAAGAGAAAAGGTTGGAACTCTATGCGATTATGCATAGTTACTTATCATTGGCATGCAATGTCATTGTATGTTACTCAAGCAAGGCATTCAGTCGCCAAGGGCGACGCTTTCTAGTAGTAATTATTAATCGATGATGGCATCACCGCGTGTGCCACACAGAGCGAAAAACCAGCACCGCTTGTTCTGGCCTCGTCTTGATCTTGCTCGAGGCCGCCCCTCGAGTCTCAATGTCCGCAAACGTAACTCGAAAAACATGCTGTCAGTATGGGAGCTTTGGCTGCGTGTGACTGTGCGGTTCATCGCGCCGGGATCCTGCGACCTCTGTGGCGCATCCAAATCCTCCGTCATCCGAGGGTCTTATTGAGCAAAAGAGGAGTGGTCTTTGGAGGTTGGAACGGACTAAATCTATTTGGCGTGAGCAGGAGTTCGAATCTGTCTCATGCTCCGACTCACCACGATGACTCGAAGCTATCGTGGGATCCAGGCCCAGAGCTCCCCGAGAGCTCCCCGAGGTCCTGCCCGTCTCACGTGCCAACGACATGAAACCCTGGGGAACCGGCGGGGCCACGTTATACATATCGCATAAAAACTATGGGCATCTCGCACAAGAGCACGTATCGCCCACCCACTCGCACCCACACGATCCAAACCTCCATGGACGCGACGTACTGCACCGCACCGCACCTCTCGTTCCACGAACACGATCGCATCGCTCGCTGGGCGCAAGATGTCGCTGCAGCGCACCCCAGCCCTAATGTCCTCGCAGCGCACTCCGCCGTCGGGTTCCGCGCACCCGCATGCTACGTTCCGTGCGCCTGCCCGTTCCTCTGCCTCAGACACGGCTTCGCACCATCGGCACGCGTCGTGCTGATCCGCGCGCCGGCGTCCGCGGCGCTCATCCCGCCCTCGGTGTCAAGGCAAGGCAAGCCTGATCGCGTGCATACAGGCACCCCCCACCCAGTATTCTCATGTGCTCACCTGCTTCGCATCAGGACCCACGCGGAATCAGCGCGCGCCTCGTCCGTCGCGCACCTCGCGCGCCGCCTCCCAGTCTCGATCCGTATGCCAGCGCACTCGGGGGCGGGGGTGTCGCAGCATCGCGCTGCAACATGCGGTAGCCAGTGGTGCAGTCGGCGGTATCAGATCGCGGTGGCTCGTCGGGATCAGCGTGTACCTGCGGTCCGCCGCCATTCCCTCGGATATCGCCGCGTCCATGTGCGCCCGGACGTCTTCGAGCCGTCCCGACGCCACGGGTTTCGTCTGTGTACGGGGACCCTTGGACAGGTATCGGTGGTGCGGCTGTGAAGGGGGGATGCTCTAGCACGGGGTCAGTACATATATCCACGAGTGTAGTGTGAAAAAGCTCTTAGCGAAATGGGCCACCAACGCCACTCTGCTGTAGATCATCGCTCCCTGCACGCTGTTGGATGGCAAGAAGCATGCAACAGCAGTGGATCCGCTGGTGCTACTGCCTATGGCTACGCGCTCGTGATCGGGCTCGAGCAACGGAGACCGAGTTGATGAGATACAGGAGCTGCAAGTGACGCCAGGCCGTTCCTGGAGGGCCGGCTGATGACCGATCGGTCTGAGACTGCTGCCCTAACCGGTGTGCTGCTCCGCACCCCCGCTTGCCTGCCATCGAGAACAAGCATCCCCACCTTGCTCGCCCTGCTCTCCAGTCCTCAAGGAAGGAGATGGAGTTCACCGTACGGCCTCGAGCGCTGCCAATCGCCAGCCATCATCCACGTGTCGCCGCACTGGCGCAACCTAGAGCCAGGGTCCAGACATATGCGACACCCGCGGGCGCGGTACTCGCGCAGACCCTGCCTTGTTCACAAAAGCCGCGATGCAGTGAGGCAAAACGCAGAAGACGCGTGTATGCGCTCGGAGCCACCTAGAAGCATCGGAACCCCAGTGGAATTCGAGCGATGACTGTGCCGAAGGAGGCGTGTCGCTGCGCGGGCCTGACGCTGCGGCGGTAGTGCGCATCCAAGGCGCGTGTATCGTCGATCCGATAATGATCGACCACCGCGGCTTGTTTGGACGTAGCGGCGATCCTACCACCATACGTATATAGGCACTCGCGAGATGGAGGACTAGGCTTGCCGCATGGAGATGAGTGTTGTTGTGTATGGAAATTGTTCGGCGCATGGGACTCTTTGCCTGAAGCAAACCTGGCGAGGGGAGGCACGACGAACGACCCTGCGCAGATCCCAGTGCCAGTCAAGATTCCGAAACGTCCGACCTCTGGGCGGTGGATGGGTGCACGTCAGGCCACGTCAAGGTTCAGACTGCTTTCTGCTGTCCATCGAGTATCCGGAGTTCGTACATAGAGACAGTGCATCCAGAGACACGTGCGAAGAAAGGTGTCGGGGGCTGTGTTGATTGAGCCCGTCCTGCTGGGCAATGACGCGGATGGCAGGCCCACAGCAGATGACGGCTGCTGAACGGGTGGTGACGAAAACAGCCCAGGAAGATGGTTGTCGACGGCCCTTGTAGACATTCCCATTCTATGCACATAGCTGTAGTCGTGATCTCCCCTTGTCAGCCTTGAGCCGCACTATTGCCCGGCGCTTCTCCCGTCGGCCAAGCAGATCTCTCACACAACAATGTCGACGCGAACGTCTCGCCCGTCCCGGCTGCTCTCCCGACTCAAGCGCGCATTGAAGCACGGCTACATTGAACATCCTCAAGCTGTTAAGCCCGTATCATGCCCTCCGGCCCTGGACCTTCCATATGAGCTCACAGAAGCGATATTCTTCCACTACGTGGAGGAGTGCGATCCAGATCCATCGCTGCTCGCTACCGTATGTCGGCATTGGCGCAGCATCGCCCTCTCGACGCCCGCGCTCTGGACGCACATCCATCTCCAACCACCCACCCATGTGTCGGACCAGCAATGGACCGCATTCCTCGCGCATCTGATCCTGCGGCTGTCGCGCACGCGAGACCTGCCGCTGTCGATCTCGGTGCTGCTCGAGCAGCACAGTCGCAGCGGGAGCGGGCGACTGCCGCGCACGGATCCCGGGCGCCTCGTGGAGCTGTTCGTCAACCTTCTGGGGCACGCTGAGCAATGGCGCACGCTCGAGATCGCGGCGCCGAGCGAGGCCGCGACCATCTTCCGCCGCTGCACGGAGTTCATCCCCGACCTGCCCCGCCTCGAGTCGCTGACGCTCGATCTGTGGTCCCGCGAAGAAGAAGAAGAAGTCTTGATCCACCACTCCTGGGGCTCCGAGTTCATCGCCGTCGCGCCCCGCCTCGTGCGCCTGCGCGTGTTCGCGCACGCGCTCTGGTGGGTGCCCCTGCACGACGGGACGCCCCGCGTCACGCCGGGGCGCAACGGCCACCCCGAGGACGTGCACGTGGCGTTCGCGTGGCGGCAGATCACGCACTTCACGCTCGAGGTCCACGAGGCGCGCACGACGTACCAGGACCTCATCCTCCACAAGCGCCTGCCCAACCTCGTCTCGCTCGAGCTGATTGACGCCGGCGTGCAGCCGCCGAGCACGCCGGCGGCCGCGGATATCGTCGCGCACAAGAACGCCGCGAAGCTCCTGACGCTGAAACTGACGCTCCCGGCGGTCGAGTGCCCCGCTGCGTGGCTCGCGCGGAGCCTCTCCGCGCCCTCGCTGCAGACGCTCGAGATCAGCGAGCTGCGGACGGATCCGGGGGGCGAGGGCCCGCACGAGGGCGGCGGCGGCGGCGGCGGGGGCGGCGACTGCTTCACACTGCGGCGCCTGGCCGAGACGCTCAACGCCTCCCTCCTGCACACCCTCTGCTTCTTCCGGGTGAACCTCGCCGTGGTGCTCAACGTCGCCCTCGGGGCGCCGTCCGTTCAGGTCCTGCGCGTGCGCGACATGGACACGCGGACCGGGGACGAGAGCGACCTCATCCTCGAGCTCGGTTCACCGCGCCAGCACGTCCTGCCTGACCTGCGGGAACTGACTTTTGGGGATCCAACGAGCTTCGTGCAGCTGGACGTGCTCGACAGCCTCTTCGCTGCCCGCGGCGGCCCCGGTGGCCAGGCGGCCTATCGCGCGCTCGAGGCATTCCGGTACATCTATCCGGTCGATTCTGAATCGAATCCCGATGTCGTCTCGTACATTGAGCACATCCGCAGGCATACCGAGCGGTGGGAAGATGGGAGGAATATGGTCTTTGTTGGGTTGGAGTCGAACGCGGTCTTCTGAACGAACATACAGGAAGGTTATTTGGAACTGAACGCAGGTCTCGCTTCTGTCAGATCCCCTCGAGCAGCAGTACTGGACGAACGTTGATGAGACTCTCTACACACGTGAACAGCACATTGTAAATAGTAAGCTCATGAAATACGAGTGCAGTTGGAAAGCCTGAGGAGGAATGCGCCTTTGCGTTGAAACACGCAATATACTTACTCGCCTTTTCGAATGAGACCGTCTACATGAATCACACTTCTTATAAGGCACTTGAGCACTGTATACATTGGATAAAACGCGGGCATTATGCAGCTTCAGCACGGCTCATATATCCCTCCTCTTGACCTCTCCCTCTTCCTCTGAGTGCAGTACGTCATCATCCCCAGCCACCTCGTCCCTCCCCATGGGGACCGCAACCACGGGCGATTTCGGGGCTCCGAACTTGACAGATACATCGGACAACGGACTCATGCTTCGAATGCCGCGCGGCTGTCCTGGGTACCTATCAGCCCCCCTCCCAATGCTGTCCGTGTCCGGAAACGGCTGCGTGATCATCCAGCCGGGTGCGCCGTCCAGCTCCGCCCTGATCGCCTTGCGCGCGTTCAGCGTCCACATCGCCGAAAACGCATACAGCTTCGGGAGCAGGTGCTCCGAGACGATGGCCACGGCGAGCGCGCCGCCGCCGCTGACCCAGTTGGCGACGAGCTGGCTGCTGACGATCAGCACGAGCGAGCAGACTGCCGCGGGTGCCGCGCAGAGGATGGTGAGGATCGCGATGCGCTGCAGCACGCTGGCGGTGTTGCGCGTGACCTGTCGCGATTGGCCCTGTCGCTTTGTGAGCCGGTGCACGTCACGCGGGCGGAGAGTGCCAGGACGACTCACATGCAGGACGTAGATGATCGACCCGCTGAGGAGAGTGTCCCCGACAAACACAGCGATCAGATAGGCCGCGTCTGGAAGCAGCGTTAGCAGTTGTATTGAATCGAGGCTGAGAACGGACCCCATTCGCGAATGTGGCCCAACTTGGGGCCCACGAGCGAATTGGAGAATATCCCGCAGATAATCGCAGCGGTGAAGATGAGCGCGAGAGCGCCGGGGATCCACAGACGCCTCGATAAGGTCTGCTCCGGGAGTATTCAGCAGGGTTCGTCGGCTACCAGAAACGTACATACCCACAGTCTCCAGCAAAAGAACAGCTCGACGTAGTACACCGACAGCATGACCCACGTGTACCCAAGCCCCGCTGCGGTGCTCGCCCCGAGTCGCAGCGCGCCCTCCAGATCCAGAAAATTCGTAGTCACCTGGATGTGGATCAGGGCACTCGGCGATGTGTCAGCCAGCACAGCACACACTGCACACACGGGCACGCGAGCCAAAGCACTCACAGGCCATACAGGCTTTTGAACAGCATCAGCACAAACAGCCCCGCCACCCATATCCGCAGTGCCAGGAAGTCGGTGCGGTGGAACCCGTGCGAGATGTACGTCGCGAATTGGCCCAGCAGAATACCCAGCATTATTAGGTCGGCGCTCACGGCGAGTTCCTGCACCCGCCATCAGCGATGCGATGGAAATGTCATGAGAAACACCAGCTACCGAGGCGCCCAGGACATATTTCACGAAGGGCACAGTCGGCATGGTCATCGAGAGGAAGAAGAAGCTTGCTGGTCTCAAGACTCCTGTCCCGGTTTTCGATGCCATTGGACCGTCAGTTGAGATCGTTCCGAGACAGGCTTCCGCGCGGGATCAGATCCGCATGGTTCATTCCGCGTTGCGATCAGCTGAGGTCTGGACACGTGCTCTCCACACAGCAGTCAAGGCTCGGAGTGTTGGAGCTGAGTGCTCAAAGAAATGGTCCAGCTCAGCCTTGGTTGGTGCTTCAGCGATGTACGCGAGAATTTTAAACCTAACTTCTACGGTGTCTAGAATGTCATGGAGAGTACTTGCATGACGGGATGTCCGTGCACATCTGATGTTGATCATGATGCGACTGATGTCGCGTCATGACACAGCATGCGCTGCAACGAGGGACTTGGGGATCCGTCCAACGCATTACCTAGGGCGAGTAGACGTACGCTGGCACCAACTTTGACATCAGCGGATACACATCTTAGGCCGAGATTTACTTGCCTTTGCAGTGAGTGAGAACAGATGCTGCGTCGAAGGAGCGCCATGGTCGTCTGTACCGTAGGCCCGACTTGCGAGCCATCTCGATCATCCCGGAGACACTTTCATCCGGCGGAGACCCATATACATCAGCCTGCAGGCAGAGTTCCCCGCCCGACCAACTGCTCGAGTAGATCCGCCTTCCTCAGCAACAGCGCGATCCCGCGCCGCCGCTCGCGCTCCAGATCAGCGGCTGTCGGCGACGCATCCGTCCGGAGCCGTCGAGCCCGCGCCGCGTCCCTCTCGCGCTCGAACGCAGCGATCTCGGCGTCTTCGTCAACGAGGCCGATGTACCCCGTGTATCGCACGCGGGGTGACGACGATGGGCTGACATAGCTGGCCGTCGGTGATGCGTCGTTTGCGTCCGGTGGGTGGGGCGAGTGTGAGCGGTGAGGAGACGGGATGGCGCTGGGGGTGCTGGTGCTGGTGGAGGTGCGACGGCGTGGACTGGCGGATTTGCTTGGGGACGGAACTTCGTGGATACAATGAGCATCTGTGTCGCTGAGCATCCGCAGTGACATGTCGGAGACATCGTGGATACAGCGTGGGTGCGGAGGCGAGGATTGCAAGGGGGTGGAAAGATGTGCAAGCTCGTCAAATTCTCTCTGCTCTTCCTCCTCTTCTTCTTCCTCGTCCTCGGCATCTTCATCTGCATCCACCTCCCCAAAACTCGTCACGTCCGTCACATTGGTCTCCACCACACTCGTCTCGGCCCAACTCGATGGCGGCACCGACACCGACCCCGTCTCGGGCGTCTCCGTGCGGCGCGCGCCGACGATCCCCAACCGCCGGGCGTACCAGCACAGCAGCCTCGCCACAAACAGCGTCTCCTCCTGACCGCCCCTTGCCAGCTTCCTGGGATCGAGAGCGCTGAGCCCGACGTCCGTCTGCAGCACGTCCGCCTGCAGCACGCCCAGGAAGATCTTCATGCACTGCACCGTCGCGTGGCCGTCCGCGTCGGTCCCGTGGTACAGCGCGTGGCGGAGGTCCGCTGGGAGGAGCAGGCGCGTCTGGAGGAGCGCCTCGAGGAGGCGGATGAGCAGCGAGGGCGTGAGCTCTTCGTGCGTCTCGAGCGTGAACGGCATGTCGAGCGCAGATAGAAGGTCGCGCAGCTGGGGCAGGAGGGTGGACCGAGGGATGGTGAAGGAGGTCTCGAAGGTCGCTGATGGAAAAATTTCCATGTGGCCTTGATGAGTGGATTCATCCATCGGTAGCGGGCTTTCTCAACGAATACCAGCGAACAAAGATGATATTCGAAGCCGTGTGCGTTGATCGGCAACGCTGTGTTTGTTTGATGCCACCATCATCAGATCCCAAATTAAGCTGAAACAAGGTGAAAGAAACACTTTGCACCGGACTGCTCATCACAAGGTTATCACCGCTAGGACAACATTCAAACAGAAGTTTTGTGGCACTCGAAGTCTACAATTGCCCCATGTGGTGAAAGGAGAGATAGCCCCTTGACGATCTAGCCCCGATGCCCATGCACGACATAAATCCTTTCTCGACCCTAGCTCCCAACTATCTGAGACAATTGCCCTCTGAGACACAAGCCAGATCCGTTTTCTTGCGCAATCGGTGGGGCCGATAATAAATACCCGAAGCCAAGTCGCCATTCCACCTGCTGCGCGGCCAGAGGTCTCCCCGAAGCCGTACCCCGACGTTTGAATCGTATCAATGCAGATTGCGATGTAGCGCATGATGTTCACCGGGAGCACCACGCGTCGCTGTGCTCCTACATTCCCCAAGTAAGGTTAATGAATCGTGACTTTAAGACCTCTGGGACCAATCACCCATGCCGCCCAGAGAACCGCCCCAACGCGACCTGTATCGTCGATCCGCACTCCAGCGCGCGGCGCACATCCGAGTGGTTCCTGAAATGCCTCCGCATATTCGAGTTCACGCTGAACTCGCGCCCGCAGCTGGAGAACGGGCACCGGTATGCTACACGCGGCGTCAGCAGGAGGCAGGCGGCGGACGGGAGGGCACGGCACGCACGCTTGGCGCGGGTGTGGACGCGCGCGTGGATGCGCAGGATGCTCGGGCGCGTGAACGCCTTCCCGCACACCCCGCAGGCGTAGTTCTTGCGCCCGAGGCTGTCGTATTGCGGCTGCACGCAGTCGAACTCGAGGCCAGATCCCGAGTCGTCCGAGGAGGAGGAGGAGGAGGAGGAGGAGGGAGAGGACAGGGAGAGGATGGTGATGGGCTCCGGGCGTCTGTGGGGCGTGCTAACGTCGTAACAGTCGATGTCGGACGTAGAGGAGGACGCCGAAGAGGGTGGGCAGAGCCGAGAGTATCTCCAGTGTGAAGACGAGTGGGACAGAGATGAAGCGTCGGGGCGGTCGAACCGGCAGTGCGGTCGTGAGCGGCGCAAGGGCGAGGGAATCGGTGAGAGCCACGGCATCAGCCGCTCGGGGAGCAGTTCGTTGATACCAGGCAGAACGACGCGCGGAGGCATAGCTCGAGCGGGATGAGAGAGATGGGACATGGGGGTGAGATGAGGAAGCGCAGTGCGATTGCCCTTTATATCTCTAATACCGCATTGAGCGGCCCTCGGCAAAAGCAATAGCAATCTCTATCATAAGGACAGCGAGTTGGACAGATCCGCTCTAAGGGTAGTGGCAGTTCTGTTCATTATAATCGATAATCATTGCTAGATAATTAATTGAGCCTTTCTGCTGGATTACTGTATATGGTGGACAGGCGAATGACCGCGAATATTCTCGAGAGATCGCAGCCTTTCCTCGAATATTTTCTCGTTCGGAGAATGGAGATACTCCATGCGTGCGAAACCTCGGAAAGCTTAAGCCAACAGATGTCGCGGTTTCCAGAACCACATCGAGGATTGCTCGGCGAAGTCCTTCGCGATGAAAATCGACCTTCCATCCATCCCAATAAGGCAATTCACGTTCCGATCATTAAACTCGCACAGATTGACGCGCCGAGAGGCAGGCACATAGTTGTCCTACCGGTCAGGTCGGCAGTTGGGCGGGACAGAAGACGCCATCCGATTGAGCTTTCTCTGTTCGACCCAGTTCTGAATCCCAACGCCGGGAGTTGTTCAAATCTGAACATCTTCCAAGTTGCGTGGGAGGAGATGAGAGCTCACCACAAACTCGCAATCCACTGATGGCTCGACAAGATCGGTGATCTTTCACGGGAAGGCGTCTCGGGGATGAGAGATGGCGGGTTTTACGATCGTGATTGTATTCCGAGACCCATGTGTCCCAGGTGTGATATCTTCTTCGGTGAAACAGAGTGATCTGGTTCCAGGCATGGCTGGTGGACGGGTATGGTATTCATATTGAGTTTTTCTGATTCAGATGTAACTGGGCAGGGCGGAGAGTGTATCAGTCAACTTGGTATATTCCCAAGTTTATCGAGTTTATCTAGTAACGCTGTCAGCGGCATCGTGATCCTGTGCACCGTCCACCAGATACTTGAGTCTGAAAAAGCCATTCTGCCGTCTGGCCATGCTGTTTCTCTCAATATCGCCGCCCCCGGACCACTCCGAATCCATCCGTAACGACTTTGCGACCGCAAAAGAATCAATCGGAGGGCAGAGATTTCACTGATCGCTTGCCCCATTTCCCGCCGTGCCATGATGGCCGGAAGGGTGAAATTGCCCGGAGTACCACCGGCAGACGTGGAGCTGCCCTGGGGCCGATAGGAGATCAACTTGCCACGAGAGATCGGCTAATAAAGCTCCCACAACTGTGCAGAAGGCAGTGTCGGGAGTCGTCAATGGTTCATGGGCGGTATTGACAGGAAGCATGGTGATCGGCTCGCCGGTGTTGATCGTGGAGGACACAGCCAGTTCAGGTCGGGTATCATGCTTCACGGCATGCAGTTGCCCATAGCAGATCATTTGAGTCGAACAACCCGTCCGGCCAGTCTCGCAAACCTCTTTTCTATCTCAGCAGGCGAGAGATCGGGGTAGAGACGAGACCTCACCGTGCGTCCGTCAAGACCGTCGTAGGCACGGTGCCGATGCTATTGGGAAGCGTGGCCTGTATATTCTGTAAAAATCTACTTCATCGTCGTTTCTGATACAATCGAAGTGCTCACGGGGTGCCGCTCAAATATAACAGAACCTTCCAAAGCACTCATCTACCGTGATGGGGCATTCGCTAGTTAATAGTATCATGTGCTATTACTCACATTGCTAGTAAATAAAGTGGCGTGAAAATTTCTGCAGCAGCTGTGTGCTCTAAATCAATTCAAACTCACTCTTCCTTGCTATTGCGAAACTACCCTACAATACCCTACTAGTGCTTAACAGACGTTGTGATCCATGTCCTCATCGCTCGTGTCCTTGTAGATGGTGATCCTGTCCGCACCGCCACAGAGCTCGTCGTTCTTTCCTTCGCAGCGGAGATCGCACTGGTTATCGGCCGTTTTCGTGGCGTCCCCGATCGAGTTTCCACACCCTGTAAAAAGCGAATCAGATCCAAACCATAACTCTAGAAACCTCCCTCACAGCATTCTGTCAAAAAAGCTCAGATTTCTGATCTGTGCCAAGAAATGAGAGGCTTACCGCGCGAGTATTCCAGTCCAGCGTATTTGAAGTTGAGGTTCTGGCAGATTCCGGTGCACTCCGTGATGGTGATACCCTCGGGAACGTAGGTTCCAAGGCCCGGGCCGTCAGTCAGAACGCGCTTATCGATAGAATCTCTGGAGCGCGGGATCAGAGGCTGAGCTCAGCCGCCGAGGGGAGTGTTCACGCACGCGAAGCAGCCGGTGTACTCCCACCGCTTGTGGTCGCCGACGTATTTCGGAGTGTGGGCCGGCTTGAACTCATCCGTGTAGTACGACACTTGGACGCGGTCTGCGGCACCGCAGACGTCGGTGGCGTCGCCGGCGCACGGCATGTTGCAGTCGTCGATGTCGGCTACGAGGCCGGTCGGGTTGAACGAGGAGGCGCAGACTGCGTCATTCAGCAACGCACGATCGACGGGGAGAGGAGAAGCGACATACAGCACTCGACACCGTACTCGACACCCGAGTAGGGCAGCGCGCGCGCGGCACAGAAGGACCGGCAGACGCCGACAGACATGTAGGTCGTATCCTTGAACGACGGTCCACTGAGAGTGCGCTTTTCGATTGAATCACTGGAGGGGGTCGGTGTCAGGGTGGTGCGCTCTGTGAGAAGCGACTCAAGGGTAGCTCACACGAAACAGCCTTGAGACACCCAGGGTGAATGCGGGACGGTAACAGACATCAAGGGGTTCTGGAGTTGTGCCAGAGAGACATGCTGTATGCTTTGAGCCGGGAGCAGAGCTCAACAGGTAGGTGCAACTACTCACGGCAGTCAAGAGAGCAGTGAGGACGAGGATACGAGTCATTTTCGGTAACCCAGGTGTTACTTTTACCACTCTTGGCCCACGTCCTTTTTATACCACCCCAGCTACACGTACTCGTATTCGGGTACGGATCGCTCTAGGAATCGACGCCACACCAGTAGCCGAAGAGGCTTCATGAACTGGAGCTCGACGACGACGTTAGTCTGATGCAACGGTTGAAGATAGGCTTTGGGCCGGATATGGGTTCATTCCTTCACAATTCGTCTTCAAGGCGGCGACACGGTGCCCATGGACGCGCCATCACATGATCGTCTAGTCGAATTCAAAGCTTCTGGTAGCTCAGGGAAACGGCACCGAAGCGATGCACGTTTGCAGGGTGTGGAGGTATTAACTGCACATGAAAGTCGTGTGAGGATGGAAGGAGAAGAAAAAAGGCCATTGCGCGTTGAAGGAAGCAAATGGACCCTTGCTGAGCTATGTATGATACAATGTATGAGACGAGTCGGAAACCAGTGATACGCACGTGCGATGATGCTGTTTCCACCAATCTGATTTGATGCCTCATCAATGCTCGCCCGAAGTTGGATACATCCTAAATGACGGAAGCCAGTTGGGCATTCTTGCAATCCATTGACAGGACTCACTCATCAAGTCGCGCTGAAGTTCGTCGGACTTTGCGTTCACGCCAGCGCCAGGGAGTGGTCCTGCTGCTACGATGTCTCCGAGGTGCTTACGACAAATACAATTCGAGACGCGATTAGCATGATTGTAAGTCATCTTAAACTGGATCCTACACCATCTCCGGTCCTCTAGAACAAAATTCGTCATGTCTAGATCCTGACTGGGCTGACCAAGAGGTCTGAGACCGACCTGGCATTCTTGCATGCCCGGTATATCGGCGCGAGCAGGTCCCGCTCGTTTCTGAACATCTCGTCGGACACGTGAGCATGCCGCAAGAGCTGCCTGTGCTCCGGCACACTTCCATTCGCACTTCCAAATCGGGAGCACGGGCATTTGACTCTCGAGTGCGATCAGGCCGCCCTGGCATGATTCGGAGGAGATCCGACACCTGGAAGCATCCCGGTCAGACTTTCCGTACCCTCGTTCACGACCTTCCATATCGCGAAGACGGCTTGGGATGACTCAATGATGAGGCCGGATTGTCGGGCCTTATCTCCCCATTGGGGAGCTGTCCATCAAATACGTTGAGTTCCGGAATCGCATCGTGGCGAAACTCTTCAGGTCCAGTCGCATCGGACAGCGGAGAGGCTCCAGCTGGTGTGAGGAGAGGGGTCTCTCACTTCTCCCCTGCTCAATAGGAGCATTGGCCTCTGAGGCAGGAGGGACCTGGCATCAAACCGCCAACGAAGTGCCAGTAGTGCGCCACTGAAATGGAACGAGTGCTATGAGTGCCACCCGCCGGGGTTTCCCGACACGATTGATGTCGATTCGCAAAAATCGAGGGTCTCATTCGACAGTATTCCCTTGGAGGAGATCGACCCCCAGGAGGATTCCCTTGGGGAGAATCAACCCCCAGGCAAGGCGCAGAGATGATTATCTCACTGTTTTTGAGGCGCTATGTGCGGAGGATAATCAGAACAAGCTCAAGCTCATTGAACAATGGTATCTGCCGTCGTCCCCAATATTGAAATCGGGTCTATGTGGACTTGGTGCGGCGGGGCGCTGCTTGATTTCGGGGCGAGCATAATGGATGGGTGGACGGGATTTTCCTCCGGCGAGGGGCGGATACGGCAGGCGGCAATGTTCATCATATGACGCGATCCCGCGGACGACTTCGACCAAGGCCGAGGTGATGATCAGCGCCCCGCGTGTCCGGCGGCACCCGATTCTGGCTCGTGTCTGAGGTCCGACCGTGATATGTGAGACAATTTCATCTTGTTTCCCTGTGCGGGGATATGTAAGTTTTATCTTATCGGACGTCCTCGGACATGGCAGCGGGACTTAATTTTGACGCGGAGGGATTTGCGGGGCTTATTGCTGCTTCACTGAACCGATCGACACCGAGCAAGGCAGGGAATCACCAGGATTGATCTGTGGAATATGGGAGTCAGAACTGTGGGAACGCTGTGCGAGTCAGGACAGGTCAGGACGTCCACCTTGCGTCAGAAAGAAGGAAATGGAGGGCTTACCACAATCCTGGCTCCTGCCTCCCGGATTTGGCATCTTGAATGTGATCGGATGCTGATTGATCGGCAAGAGCGGTGCGCACTGTTTTATCATGTGTTGTGCTAGTGGCTGGCTATATTGGACAATGGCATGCTACAATGCAGAATCCAGGGCGCCAGAAAACGAGGGGCCACAGTAATTGCATCATCTGCTGTGGGGTGTAAGGCTTCGGGCCGGCGATTGGAACCTACGCGGGAAACAAGAGTCAAGCGAGGTGATGAGAAGCTCTCACGATCGAACAGAGTCCCGTTCTGGAAACAATGGGTCGTTTATATAGCGAGCGAGCTAATTGTCTCACTCCCCCCGGACGCGCATCGAGCCACCTTGCATAGCAGAGCTGGGTAAGATCGGGACACGCTTTTGTTTCCGCATCTCTGCCTCTCCCAGCTCCTTCTCTCTTACTGCTCTCCGTGCTATTGTCCAGAGCTACTGTTCTCACTTTCCTTTCGCGCTGTCTTTTCTTTTGTAATGTCTTCTGGAGATACGGATTACATGGCTCGTGGTGCGTCTCGCTCTCTCTCTCAAGCTGGGTGCGCGGGATCTGACGGTCGCGTTAGCGGAAGCGTCCTTCGAACCTCCCTCGTTCGCGATTATCTCACCGACACCCCGATCCTCCGTAACATTCAGCTTTCCTGCGTCGCAAAATGTGGGGGAGTCTCCATGCGACACTCCCTCGTCCTCGCCCTTCGAGCCGGATTTGCGCCAGCTGACATTGGCGAACCCTGGTATGCTTTATTGTCTCGTCCCAAAATGGCAACGATCGCTGATGGAGTCAGGGTTAGGGTCAGCTTCTCACTCCCCATCATCCTCTACCTCGTCCCTAGCCTCAGAATGCCCGACCCCGCCCCCGTTGAGCGCCTTCACCCACACCCTCTCCGTCTCATCCCTGAATCTCTCGGACAACTCCGGTCCGGGTCCGATCCGGCGCTCCAAATCCTCGGCTAGCGAGTCGCGGCGCCCCAAACGCGGTGACGACGACTATGTGAAGCGGCCCGAAAACGCGTGGATTCTGTTCCGGCGGAAGGTCTCCCAGGATCAGGCAGCGGCGTCTGCAACGCCCCAAGCCGAATCCACAGCAGCGATGGCCCTGCCTGGCGGTCGGCGACCGCGGCAGGCGGACCTCTCCAAAACGATATCCGAGCAGTGGCGCTGTCTCCCCGCGGAGGAGAAGGCCAAGTGGGAGGCGCTGGCGAAGGAGAAGAAGCGCGAGCACGAGGCTCTGTACCCAGATTATGTGTACCGGCCTCAGCGCGCGAGCAAGAAGAACCGCCCGCGGGAGTCGAGTCCCGGGCCTGGTCGTGGCCGCGACGTCGCGAACGCATCGCTGGCAGCTCGCCGGAAACGTGCGGCTCCTCCGACGCTGGGGCCGCCGCCAGAATTCTTCATGCCCGTATTCTCCGCGATCCCCTCTATCTCTTCATCGTCGTCGTCGTTGCATCAGCCCCAACCGCAAGCCCGGAGCTCCAGTGTGCCTTCGTATCAGCCTTTCCATGCTCCCGATGTCTTCTCCTCTGTATCGACGACCGCGATAGAGCCCATCGACACGTCTCCCGTCTCGCTTTTGGATCTGATCAACCAAGCCTCAGCGCTGAACGGCGCACACAGCTTGTATCCTGACGACACAAGTGGAGGATGGGACTATACCCCCAGCCACGCTGTGAATGCCCAGTTCGCCCAGTCGATAAACGTGCGTTCCGGCCTTGCCTGAGACTTGATGAGCTGACCGAATTGTAGTCGACCGACTTTCTGCACTCCATGACGCCCTCGACTTCATACTCACCCACATCAGCCTTTTTCTCTAACATCGGGGCCTTTGCCCCGCTGGACCCGACACCCATGTCGCTCTCGCTGCCCGACGCCTGCGACCCGTCACTGCTCATCACTCACAACAACGACGCAAACGCCTGGCCCATCACCTCACCCTGGGCGGGTCAGCACACGTTCTCCGCGCCGACGCAGGCACCGGCGCTCTCCGAGGGCGACTTTGAGCTCAGCTGCGTGCCGGGCATCGGCGCCGGGTGGGACACCATGGCGCCCACCGGGCACTACCCGGGCAGCGAGTACATCACCGACGCGGACGATCTCGTGAAGGAGGTCGTGGACCCGACGAGCTTCGACATGCACAACCAGCTGCCGCCGCTGACGATCGACTTTGCCGGTGCCATGGCCGCTACCCCATGATGGTGGTCTTGACGGCCGCGCGTTGTATATATACCAGCACTGATTGTGCCGTGTGCGGATGACTCGTGTAAAACCATCCCCCAACTTATCTCTCACTTATATCGGTTCTGGCGCTCTGTACATCTATGTATGACACGCTCTCACCTCGCATGCCTCTCTAAACGCTGCGACCGTTCTCGCTTGCTAGCCCTCGTCGTGTAATCCTATCTCCAGATCATGCAGTTACATTTTCGGAAGCAGCAGACGTAGGCAATCCTGTGGAAAGCACTGGACAACGCCGTCATTCTAAGCATTCTAGTTGATAATCCAGTTTGCTTTGACCTTGGACGCTATCCACGAAGGCACCATGATGTCTGGAGCGGAGGCTCGCACGTTCACCGGGATCGTTGAGGAATTACGAGAGCGAGCCCAATCGCCGATTTCAAGGATTCCGCGTATTGCGTCGATGGAGTACTTTTCCATTCACGGTTAGGCTAACCTTTGGGCTTTTACACAGCTGGAACAGAAATCGGAAATCGGCAGCTGGCATGAGACGGTCTGGTTTCCGGGCCAAGTTCGTGATGATGTACTTATCCCGATACTTTAAAATAGGGCTGATTGAATGAGCATAACTCTATGTTGGACTTCATTTTGGACGGAAATCTTCCGCCCGTACCCAAACTTCGTTGACCAGAACTTGGCGAAAGTAGATTATCCCGGGATTACCGTTTGGGGGGAGGGTCAGGGGTCCTGGCACTATTTAGTCAAGAGATGATCGAGAGACAAATTTACAAGACCCCTGAATCAAAGTAACCTAGAGACCGCCTAGCATGTTCTTCGACCAGGACGAAGTGTTCGATGTGTTCAGCCTCGAAGAGGCCCCCATCCCCCCTCCCTTTGGATCCAAGCTCGCATCACTCATAAAGGCCCTCGGAGCCGCACGCACCTTCGTCCCAGTCAACGAGCGATCAGGAAATCTCATCCCGACCGACTTTATCAGGCCCTTGAGGCCCGTCTCCGAAGTATTTGAGTACCGGGACGGCAACCGGACCGTGGCGAAGGAGACGATCATCGTGCAGGTCGACGGCGCGTGCTCGGGGAACGGCAGGCCCGAAGCGCGTGCGGGGGTGGGCATCTACTTCGGCCCGGGCTCGGTGGAGAACGTCTCGCGCAGAATCGACGGGCGGCAGACGAGCAACCACGCGGAAGTGCGCGCGGCGCTCGAGGCGATGAAAAAGCTCACGGAGATGTTCGACAACGACCGGCTCCTGCTTGTGAGGCGGATGGTGTTGCTCGTTGATTCGAGCCACGTGTTCCGAGCCATGACGGAGTGGATCTTCAGCTGGAGGGAGAACGGGTGGAGGACATCCGGTGGGGCAGAGGTCAAGAACAAAGCCTGCTTCCAGGAGCTCGATCGGATCGTGACGGCGTACGAGAGCCATGGATTTGCAGTTCAATTCTGGTTGGTCCGTCGGGAATTCAACAAGGAGGCTGATCTTCTGGCTAAGAACTCGTATTTATGAGCAAATTATTTACACGGATGCCCAGCGATCCCAATCGAATCTCTCGTGCATCCTTGTGATGATGTCAAAGTAGTCAGGCTCCTCGTCAGCGGTGACCAGTCCAAGCCGGATGAACAGATCTATAAGAACGACGGCACAATTGGCTTTGAATCGGCCTGCACGCAGCGCTTCGTCGATTGCCGGTCTAGGAAGGAACTGGAATCCAGAAATAAGCACATGGAAACGGTGGTAGCCAAATCACGAACGTCGAATCTCTCTACTTCGCCGTCGAGAGGTTTTGGCTGGAATGTCGTCGAGTCTGCGTACGCAGGGATGGCGATGTCGAACAAGTACTCGACTTCTGGTTGCAGCCATCCTTTGTCCGTACTAGAAAAGCGTACGTTATGTGCTGGACCAAGGGTGCCTGAGGCACGCACCGATGGAAATAACTGATCACACCAACAGAGCGGACGTGCTTTCGGACTAATGATTCTGGCAGGGATGCTTCCTCCATGCATTCTTTGACGAGACATTCGAGGATCGACATCCCAGCAGGGAGCCCCCCAGCAACAGTGTTGTCGAGGAACAGTGGCCAGCTGGCCGGATGCTGGGTCAATGTTTGACCCTGGCAAGGAATGTTTAAGCTTACGTGGACTTTGTTTGAGCTCTCGTAGGCACCCACACGCTGACACTCCTTGCTCCGTCCTCTCCAGCGTTCTCCTGATAGACACTCAAATGAACGCCATAAGTCACGATCCCAAACAGCGCACACGCCGCCCTCTCCATCTCAAACGCGAAGTTGCCCTCCTCAAACGCGGCATCGGAGTCCGCGCTGACGTAGTCGCGCTCGCCGAACGGGTCCTTGTACACCGGATACCGCTCGTCGCGCCATTTTCCGGGCCCGATGACACCAGCGAAGAGCCCCGCGTCGTGCCACCGCGTCGTCAGCGCGTGCATGGCCGCGGTGCGCTTGCCCGGCGTATCGAGCCGTGCGTGCAGCGTGATGCGAGATGTGCCAGGCTGCGCACCGGCCCACATACTCGCCGCCGGATCGGCGTTGGCGTGTTCTTGGATGAGCAGATCGACGACGACTGGGCGAAGGAGGCCGATGATCGGCGCGTCAGGTGCTGGGGACAGGGCGAATGGGATCAGGCGTTCCGCGTCGTATGCGGTCGGGGCAAGAGGCAGAGGGCCTGAATGCTGTCCGATGCGTGCGTTCCCGCACTGGTTCACCAAGTCGAGGTAGCTATAATGCGTCGGTGGCGATGCCATGGATGAGGGCGGAAGGAGGCGGCTGATTATGATCGGATTGGGAGATTTATGGGAATGATCACCCCAGGGACCTCCAGTTATTACGTAAAATGGCTTTGAGGCCCCCTCCGGAGGCCATCAAACCACCCCCTACCCCCCCTGATCGGAGGCCATCCTGGAGGCGCCTTCCTAATTGGTACACTACCTGGCTATTCATCCACGGCCAGCATGGTAGGCTAGGCATTGACCCGAGTGTTGATATGTGCTGTAGTAGTGAGTATGAAGTCTCAGACAATGTCTTAGCTCACAAAAGCTTGTATTTCTTGCTTGCAAATGGCAGACCACTGGGCGCACAAAATTTGGGATTTGAGCACATGAGCACTCCTCAGGTGCATAGAGCAACAGTATATATATTAATTTGAGATTGAGCATGAGGTAGCTGTGCCCACACGCAAAAAATGAGATGTTGCTGAAGGGATGGTTTATGGCCTCCACGACCTCCCAGGGGCAGAAAAAAAGGTGTTGGGTAGCCCACAGGCCCTTGAATTCCGCTTCAATAGATCAATTTGATGCTTATGCTTTGTCAAAACAACAGCCCAGGATATAAATTAGATGCTGGTGCAGTGGCAGAACTAGCCTCCACCGCCTCCAGGGCTGGGGACCAAAAGCGGTTATTGTAGATTCAGCCACATAAACCATATTTCTGATGTTGTTTATCCTAGTCAGAATGTCTGGGTATTCCAGAGAGACAGGTGGCTACATAGATCAGATGCTAGCAGCAATAGCAGAACTGGCCTCCATGGCCTCCACAGCCAGTGACCAAAAGCGGTTTTTTGGGTTCAGCCACATAAACCATGTCTATGAAGTTGAAGGTCTTCATTATAATTATGAGGGTCCTTTAGTTAGATGTCTCACCACGTGAATCAGATGCTGGAGCAAATGGCAGAACTGGCCTCTGCTGCCTCCACAGGTTATCACTTGAAGAGTCTGAATGAGATGACAATGTAACAGATAGATGTTCTCATAGATTACTATGTTCCGCTATTTCTACCTCTGCATGCTAGTTTGATTGCAATAGAATGTTGAATTCAGAGAATGGGGGACCCTGGAGGCACTGGAGGCACATGCAAGATCCAATCAATATCATCAATGCTATCAATGCCATCAATAGCATCAAGAGCATCACCGATCATTGGTAGATTGATCAGCCAATCAGATGATGAATAAAGGTCAAACATCGGGTATATTCATTCTTGAGAGACACAGACTACATATATCCTCATGCTGACAGTGGATTAGTGGTCCCAGGACATGCCCCAATGACATATTGCATGCTTGTCTCAGGGACATATGATTAAAAATCGGAGTTGGCAAATGAGCTGAAAGTCAACTGAAGATGAGTGGTACAATGGAGTACTTTCAGCTCATTTGCCAACTCCGATTTTTAATCATATGTCCCTGAGACAAGCATGCAATATGTCATTGGGGCATGTCCTGGGACCACTAATCCACTGTCAGCATGAGGATATATGTAGTCTGTGTCTCTCAAGAATGAATATACCCGATGTTTGACCTTTATTCATCATCTGATTGGCTGATCAATCTACCAATGATCGGTGATGCTCTTGATGCTATTGATGGCATTGATAGCATTGATGATATTGATTGGATCTTGCATGTGCCTCCAGTGCCTCCAGGGTCCCCCATTCTCTGAATTCAACATTCTATTGCAATCAAACTAGCATGCAGAGGTAGAAATAGCGGAACATAGTAATCTATGAGAACATCTATCTGTTACATTGTCATCTCATTCAGACTCTTCAAGTGATAACCTGTGGAGGCAGCAGAGGCCAGTTCTGCCATTTGCTCCAGCATCTGATTCACGTGGTGAGACATCTAACTAAAGGACCCTCATAATTATAATGAAGACCTTCAACTTCATAGACATGGTTTATGTGGCTGAACCCAAAAAACCGCTTTTGGTCACTGGCTGTGGAGGCCATGGAGGCCAGTTCTGCTATTGCTGCTAGCATCTGATCTATGTAGCCACCTGTCTCTCTGGAATACCCAGACATTCTGACTAGGATAAACAACATCAGAAATATGGTTTATGTGGCTGAATCTACAATAACCGCTTTTGGTCCCCAGCCCTGGAGGCGGTGGAGGCTAGTTCTGCCACTGCACCAGCATCTAATTTATATCCTGGGCTGTTGTTTTGACAAAGCATAAGCATCAAATTGATCTATTGAAGCGGAATTCAAGGGCCTGTGGGCTACCCAACACCTTTTTTTCTGCCCCTGGGAGGTCGTGGAGGCCATAAACCATCCCTTCAGCAACATCTCATTTTTTGCGTGTGGGCACAGCTACCTCATGCTCAATCTCAAATTAATATATATACTGTTGCTCTATGCACCTGAGGAGTGCTCATGTGCTCAAATCCCAAATTTTGTGCGCCCAGTGGTCTGCCATTTGCAAGCAAGAAATACAAGCTTTTGTGAGCTAAGACATTGTCTGAGACTTCATACTCACTACTACAGCACATATCAACACTCGGGTCAATGCCTAGCCTACCATGCTGGCCGTGGATGAATAGCCAGGTAGTGTACCAATTAGGAAGGCGCCTCCAGGATGGCCTCCGATCAGGGGGGGTAGGGGGTGGTTTGATGGCCTCCGGAGGGGGCCTCAAAGCCATTTTACGTAATAACTGGAGGTCCCTGGGGTGGGAATGATGTGCTCGGCCGATGAGCTCCGACGTGTGGCAAATGTGGAATGGTGGTGGCCCCATATTGCGGTCGCATGATTTTGAGACAGGATTTCAGCGCAGAGATTATTGGCCCCTCCCACAACATCGGACCAGGGCATTTTTGATGCTTAACCATCATTTGATTTCGGATGATGCTGGCCTAGTATTGGTGACCGTGATCTTGACTACCTTGACTCAAGTATTGACCTGTCCGAATATCTTCAAGGATTGTTTTTAACGACATGGGAAGCATTGACTCTCAGCTTCAACCATCACCAGACTTGAGAAGATAGTACAGTTGTGTTCTAACTAGGTACTCGTCAAGTGAGGTGCTTCGATGTAAATGATTTATTTGCTAGCCCCGGGGTTTTTCTGAATATATAGCCAAGGTTTCGCATCTCTTTATAAGAATAAAGGAGAATCCTTACGATGGAACGCGAGAATGTGGCTGTGTATGTATCGCCCAGAAGGTCACATGTCCTTATCGGCGATCGGACGGCACATCCGATCGATGGATCACACCACTGGCAGAGCTCTGGCCACCTTCCAGACGCCTCTACGTCGTGACTCGCCTCGTTCCGATAAAACTCGATCCCGCCCTTTCTCCAGGCCTCCTACCCCGTCCTTCCCCATCGACATGGCCTCCGAGCTCTCCTTCCTCAGTCACGCGCGCTACGGCAAAGACAAGGTCCGCGTTCTGCGGGTCGTGCGCGAGGGCAAATGGCATCACATCGTGGAATACAACGTCCAGGCGCTGCTCGAGGGCGATATTGAGACGAGGTGCGTCGCCTGCTGTACCCGCGTGGGGGTGATGCGACCGCAGTCCCTAGCTACACAGAGGCAGATAACTCTGTCATCGTCGCGACAGATTCCAGTGCGTGGCCCGCCCTCTTCCCGCATCTTCTGATATGCGAGACTCATATTTCCTAGTTAAGAACATTACGTACTGTGAGGTCCCGATGCCGTCCGTAGCCGTCCGAGCTCATCATATCCCCGCCCAGATCTTGCCAAGGTGTCCCCGTACGTCCTTAATCCCGAGCGCTTCGCGCTGCACCTCGGCACGCACCTCGTCTCCAAGTACGCACACATCCACAAGGCCTTCGTGTCAGTGGAGCAGCTGCGGTGGTCGCGCATCCCTGTCGACGGACAGGCGCACCCGCACTCTTTCCTCCGCGATGGCGACGAGAAGCGGATCGTGAAGGTGGAAGTCGATGCGAGCAAGGGCAAGGACAAGCTCGTAGCGACTGTGCAGTCTGGGATCACTGACCTCCTCGGTTCGTCCATTTGCGAGTAGTCCTGGTCCTGATCGAGCTAAGTCTTGCTTCCCAAGTGCTCAAGACGACTGAATCTGCATTCACCAACTTCGTCCGCGACGAGTACACCACTCTTAAGGAGGTCGATGACCGTATCTTGTCCACTTCTGTCGACGTGACCTATACCTTTGCCCCAATCGAGATCCCCAAGCCGGGCGACGCCAAGCTTGAGGAGTTCATCATCCCGGTCCGCTATCCTCTTGAAGATTTTTCCCAGAGGCTGATTACGTTAGACCGATATTCCTGCTGGCAGCGTCTGGGACGATCAGGTTCCAGTCCGAGCAAGGAAAGTAACGCTGGACATCTTTTCCACAGATAACAGCGCTAGCGTCCAGGTGGATATCATCCTATCCTGTCTTATGGTCGATGATTTTGGCTGACGTGCTTGGTAGGCGACCCTGTACCGCATGGGGCAGGCGATTATTGCCCAGAACGCTCTGGTGCAGACTGTGTCGTATGCGCTGCCAAACAAGCACTATATCCCCGTCGATATGAGCTACATCGGAGTGGAGAACCTCGTCCCGTGAGTGCCGCCAGATCCGATCCCTGGGCGCTCCATCTCACGTTTTTTTGCAGATCTCAGGCGGAAGTGTTCATGCCTGTCGCAGCGCCGAGGTTAGTTCTCCATTTTTTCTTTCCGCGCAGGGTTTCCGTACTGAGCGTTGCAGTGGCTTGATTACGGCTACCGTGAGCCGCAAATAGAAATTCATATGCATAGTAGGTTTTGCGTTTATCATGATGAATTGAGCATCGTTTTTGGAGGCATTGCCATGATCGTTTGGGCGATATCGGTGATTAGATTGTGGCCTCGCTCGCCGCAGCCTCGTCTTGGTCCAAAGCCGAAGCAATATGTCAGCGCGAACAGATTCAAGGTGCGCAACTGAACACTGCTGTCTCAGAAGCACATTCTCGCAGTTATAACAAAGCTGTTCAAACTGCTCCCGTTCGGAACAAGGTGTTGTACTCTCATACAACAGGGATAAACTTCCAGGCCGGCATACTATCGATCAGCAGGTGACATCCTCTAAGAATCTGATTTGCTCAGGAAAGCTCCAACTTGTTTAACGTTGAAGTACTTTAATCGACTCGACATGCATGCTGCATTTCGCTGTCCAAGAGGATCTCAAACTCATTGGGCGATAGTTGGGCGATAGTTGGGCCTTGCATGTGCGCACCGGGTCGCAAGCTCACTATGCTGACCACATGGTTTACTTTTTTGTCAACATATCAGGCAGCCACCACCCGGCGGCACTTCAATTCTGAGTGCCAAGCATGAGACGGAAGATCTTTTAAGACGAGTCCTGGCGTTGATCGATCAAGTAGCTTGTAGGTAGTAAGATGAGTGGAGACTGGGATACAGGAGGCACGAAGAGCTTCACGATTAGGATCGTTCACCCGCACGCTTATTTCCAACAATCTCGTACTCGATTAAAATAGGTCACGAGAACGAGAGCCAAGATTAGGCCATCGTGTCGCAGTCCATCTCTCCGAAAGACTCGTAGGCAGCGCGAGCTGTAGCATTTTGGAGAGAGATGCCGCAGCGGTGATGTGGCAATGGCTATCACATGCGTCGGCGGTTGGAACACTGCGTTTGTCCGATGCTTGAGATCAACATCGACATCATCCTTTCTTCTCCGATCGGTATCACCACCTCGGTATTCACTCACGACCCCGCCTTCCTCGCGATTCCCGAACTAACAAACAAACTAATTGAGATCCGGAGTCTGAAACGCCTCACGGTGAGATGTTCCGGCACATCCCGCGTATTTGTAAGAGCGGATGAGGGTCGAGCCAATCGAACGGGGCTGAATTCGTTGTGCGAGTTAAACAGTCGGCTATCGTCGTAAACGCACTAACGGTCCTGATTGTCCTGAAGCGGGTTGTCACGAGACCGGTTGGTCTGGGCATGTGTCCAGGGCACGGGGACTAAGGGATCGTTCTCTGCTTTACACTCGAAAGAAGTTGACATCCGCCGTAATCCGGTGTGAACATAAGCCTGAGCCCATGAGAGAATCATTCCGCTTGCGAGATCCCGGGTGCCAATCTGGCTACTGCCGAGCTATTCATAATCGGGAAACACCCCATTAATACCAAAGACAAGACAAGATGGGTCCATGTATCCGTTTACCGAGGAGATGAGGATGACATCATCATCACCTGGTGGCCGTGAAATGGGGGACACCCAGGGGCCAAACGCATCGTTGTTGAGACAGGGCTAATCGAAGCGATCCGGACGTCGGAGGGTCCTTCACAGGGCCCAATCAGCAGAAGCGTCCGATGTCCGCCAACGCACTTGAGCCCACACCCAGATGTCCTGAGAGGAGAGTAAACTGACACACATGTCTCGCGTGATCTTCCCGCTCGGGTCTCCGATGTCCCCGGAGTCCAGGTCACCAGAGATCGCATTGAAGAGCAGGGCTGTCAGTGTAAATCCGGAGAAGATGGAGATGAAACAAACTAACACGCAGTGCACATGCCTGCAGCGTAAGAAGCACCGCGACTTCGTTGGCCTTTCACGAGGGTGCTGGCGCACCGCGTTGTCCGCTGCGCGCATGTGACCGACATGCATATTTCGAAATGCTTTCATAATTGCAGCGAAGTCGGTCACACTGCCCCAGTATTTCCTCCAATGAAGGGTGGATGATAATGATGCCGTGTGTGCGAAAAGAAGGGCACCAGGGTGGAAGAAGAATGACCCCATTGAGCCCCATTGAGCCCCATTGTGGACCCCCCCCCGCCACCCGCAGTGTTGAAGCAGTGGTCTGTGCGCAGCGGGTGCGGGTCTAATCACGAACTCGGCGACCGCATAGGTAAGGGCCGCATTCATTTCTGGAAGGTTGGGCGCGATTGAATTTCGAAGCAGGGCGGTGTTGAGGGGCGTGACGAAACCGAAAGCGAGTGCCGAGGCCACGGCGAACCACGGCTGGGTGGTAGGAACCAAGGAACCTTCCTCGAATGGAGGCACGTGGCCTTAGCTCCGTATGACAAGGATCCTGCGTGATGGCATCAAATCCCTCTTTCCCTCTTAAGAGGTTGACCAGAAAATGAATTCCCCAGTGATTCATTGCGACTCGCGTTCTCTTCTCAAAACCCACCGCCAATATGTCTGGATCTGCCCCGCTCTCCCCAGCTGCACTCCGACGTCTCAAATGGCCTGCACCCCATGCCTAGTCAGTGTCCACAGTCTAGACTGGTCGTCTGCGTTACCTCACTCGAGGGCACACCGAAGCATCAACTCGCTGACATCTATTCCAGCACGCCTCCCAATTCCGTCCCATTCTACGACCCTGAGCTCTACCCACATGGTGTGATCAACCTCTCAATCGCCGAGAACTCGCTGCTGAGCGAGCGCTTGATTGAGGTATGTCTTGTTCTGCTCCTGAGCCGAATTCGCTGTGTCACGCGCGAAGCATATCTCCCGTCCACTGGTATCATTCCGGGGCCAGCATCTCAGATACAGGGCCACACTGATCAAGACCGACCTGCAAACTGTCGAAGATCTGCTGCCGGCATACATCAATGACCACTTTGAGCCAAGAATCCCGGTCACGAGTTGCGTCGCCGAACTATCTTATCGCGGGATGAGATTCGTCTGACATGAGCTGCAGGGGAGAACTCGGTAGCCGGGCCCGGCATCGGGGCCCTATTGGCTCAGCTCGTCTGGGCGCTCGCAGGTCAAGGCGAAGGTGTCCTGATGAGTGTCGTAAGCCCATTCAATCCATCCATCCACGTTGCGCATCCTGAGATCACGCGCCCTAGCCCTTTTACGGTCCGTACCCGGCTGTCCAACGCACTGCCATCCATTCAACATGTTTCGACAGACGACTATTTCCGTGACATATCCCACCCGGCGCAGGCTCAGCTGATTCGCGCTGAGATCCCGGCGCACGTCGATTCGCTCTCTGAAGACGTGTTGCCCCTGCTGGAGGCCAAGATCAAGTCCAGCGGGCGGCTCGGCATCCCGATCAAAGCGATGCTTATTCCGAATCCACATAACCCCCTCCCGCAGGTCGTGCCCAAAGAGGTGATCACGGGATACGCGCTGCTGGCTGAGAAGGTGCGTGTTCACTTTCCGCACCCGCGCGCACTGGCTCCAATGTTTCTGCAGTACGACATCCATTTGATCGTCGACGAGGTCTATGGGATGTCGACGTTCCACGACTCGGCCTACCCGCCTGCAGTCAACGTCGCCTTCGAGTCGGCGCTGACATACGACTTCTATGCGATCGGTGTGAATCCAGCCCGGGTACATGTGCTGGCTGGTCCGACGAAGGACTTTGGCGCCAGTGGTTTGAAAAGTGCGTGATCCGGTCCGCTCTGGGTGCCGGGACGCCCATCTCATCATCATCTACTAGTGGGACTTCTGGTATCTCCGCACAACATCCCGCTGATGGATCTGATCCGTCCCCTGTTCAACGCGACGCCGATCTCGTCTGCCAGCGACGCCCTGTTCTCCCGGGTCTTGAAAGACCGGGTGTTCGTCGAACGCTTCCTGGAAGACAATCGGATCGCACTGCGGGAAGCGTACGAGCTCGTCGCTGGCTGGTTGATCTGGCACGGATTGCAGTAAGTGTCCAACTGCAAGTTATGCTTCGTGTTGTCAAATAGGCTTCTCCCGTGCAGCTTCACACGAGCGAACGCCGGGGTCTACGTTGTTGTCAATTTCGAACCGTTCCTGAACCGGATATCCGACCCGGATATGTTTCCGATGGAGAAACTAGACCGTGGCGTCGCTGCTCTCATCAAACAAGGTGTCTTTATGGTGTGTGCTCTCCATGCTTGCTTTCAGTTCGCTGACCTGATTGGCGTTAGAAACCGACAAACCTGATGGGAGACCCTGTCCCTACTCGTTTCCGGCTGGTCTTTTCGCAGCCTAGGAGCTGGATGTTGGTGAGTCTTCGGGTGTTACTTTCTCTTCATCCTCAACCGTCGTTGAATCTATGACAGTTGGCGCTTCGACGCATCGAACAAGCATTCTCTGCTCCAGAAGCTCCTCTTCCCGCAAACAAGTTCTCGGGTTTAAATGGAACCTATATGAACGGAGCTGGTGCCGGCAATGGACGGCATGTGTACGATAGCGAGCCCTCGAGTGCTTCTGAGTCGGAGTGAGATGGACATATAACGCGGACTGCCTCGTTCGAACTAATGCCATGGACATACGGCGAACGTAGTCAAGTAGGATAAACGGAATCCTTGTAGCAATAAGCTCTCACACTTGCATCGCCTCAATATATAAAGACAAAGAATAGATCATTCATATTCTGTAAAACAATCTTTCTCGGAGAATGCGAGATGAATCATAAAAGGCTTGGTCTTGGAGAACTCGAGTCTACTGCTTATACGGCCCGAGCGCACCGGTGGAGTCGCAGCTACACGAAAGGTGAGAATCAACTTGGGTCTGAGAACAAGCGCCTTACTTGTAGTGCACAGGCGAGTAGCAGGCGTTACCGCAGCGCAACGTCGCATTGCCTCCAAAGATCGGGCAGAGGAAGTTGCCATCGAGGCAGATGTACTAGAACAGTGCTCTGAATATCACAGTGCGCAAAATTTCACTTTACACTGACCTTGGAGCTGCTGAAACGGGCAGCGCCACAATCTTCCAACACTTTCGGGTCACTCGAGTCCTGGGCAACGATTGTGTCATTGCAACTGCATCGAAAACGCGTCAGCATAGCACAAGGCGCGTACGAGTGGACGCAATCACGTATAGCGAGACGAGGAAAGACACGATTGACCGCAGCGGATGAAATCTGTGCCGTTGATCACCGGACACAGAAAGTTTCCGTCGAAGCAGGTGTACTGTGCAGTAGGTCGAGGTGAGAGACTTATCGGTTGGTGGTAATCGACTCACCTCGGAACGGTAATATTGAGAAGTTCCACAGGTCAGAAGAGTCTCGTTCGTCGGCGGGGCCGCGGGAGCGCCGTGTGCACCAAAAGCGCTGAATGACGCCAGGAGAAAGGTAAGAAAGCTGGCCATCTCTGCGGGTCCTTGGGATTCAGAAGTGCTGGAGCAGTCTGGATGAAGAACTTGTTCGACAAACGGGTCAACTCTTTATATGCCTTCTGTAACGCGGACGGCACCTGGAATGTTTGAGGCTACCTATCGGGCTCGAACTGCCTGGTTCCGGTTCTTCAAAGACATAGTATAGATCCATGCTGAGAGTAGCACTGGGTCTTTGGGGGTCTCGAAGCAAGTCGGGATTTGTCATATGTGTAGGAGTGAAACGACGATCCCTGACTCGAAAATTCGGGGCTAACCTAACCGGCACGGGCAATTCGACTGATAAGTACATCATTAATTGATATCAAAGATCCGCCCAGCATGCGGGTTGGCACTCTTCTGCGGCCAGTAATCGTCGCGTCGAGAGCGAAATAGGGGACTTGATCTCGAATTAGGTTCCTGGACTGGGAATGGACTGAAATAGATAGCCGATTTTAGCAATCCCGTTTACGTCGGTTGGTTAGTCCCTTGCATATCACTTCGAGAACTTGCTGGGAGCCGAGAGGAGTGCATGGGATTGTTGCGACACAGCTATTCATATCAGCCCTCCCGCGAATGAAGAAGGTTAAGAGAGGATGTGCAATTACTAAATTACATCTCAGTCAATGTTCAAGAATCGACTCGAGAATGACGCAACACGAGGCAACTTCATCATGCTGCGCATGTCGAACCGGGAAGGCATCACGGTCTCAGTGAGCATCCGAATGTAGCCCGGGTCGAGAGTTCTCGATAACCGGTAGGGATTGACAGGACCTCTGATTATTGTGTGCAAGACTAGCGCGGGTTCTCAGCAATTCATAGAGGGCTAACACCCCTGTCAGCAAGAATCTGAAGTTCATCCTTCCGATGAATCCTGGGCCCCGCCGCCGTCCTGGTGCGACGATCCTGGCCCCGTCGCTTCGCGGGAGTCGCACCAATCGCGAATACAGTTCTCCCAGGTTCGACTTTGCGTGCAGAGGCATGCTCAGAGAGTGCTGAGAGGGGAGGAATTTCCTCATCCTCTACAGAACCCATATTTGGCACGGCAGCCCTGGAACTGGCTGGAGAGATATCAACTCAATCCGGTTAAGGCTTTCCCGCGAAAAATCAAAACATTATCAGATTTCTGGCGCTAGTCCCACTATTCAATCGAAGGAGGTCCTTTGCAAACCATTCCCCGGAAAGGGGACTACGACCTACGACCTGCTCCGAAACTTCACCTCATACACGAAGGAGCAGATTTTGCCGACGGATGTTCGCTCATACTACATGGAACAATCTAGTCTGGAATTGATTGAGGGGTCTCGAGGAGAACCGGCTCCGGAGTTTTGATGCTACGTTGGCACGTGTCCTATTGCTCGGGATAATGTAGATGACCGTGCATCACACTACTTCCATGGCTAATGGGCCCGGCGATGTTTTTTCGGGACTCGATCTGGACTTTAGCACCATCACTGTCCCAGCTACTCGCCACGCGCTCCGACTGCGGGCCTGAGCCGCGCCGTTTGCCACCACGCGCTCGCAATGCTTCCTGCGCAGCACGCAGCAGTACCCGCAGGTCCTCCCAGGTACGCGCCCACTGTATGAATTGTGACTCATGCGGATGTTCCGAACCACCCGGGAACGCCGTATAAGACACACGCACGGTTGCATGGAAACTGTCCGTATCATATCCTTGTTTCTTCCCCTCCCACATGGAGCTCGACACCAAAACCCCCTCCTCGCCGTCCCGGCCGACGCACGTCAGGATGCCGCCCTGCGCAGGTCTCGGGAACGCGGCGGGTTCGTCAAAGCAGTCGCCGTCGCGGCGCTGTTCTTTTGGCTGGGACTGCGCTACCGTGAGTGCGTGACGGATGGAGTGTCGAGGGCACTCTTCGCTGTCCACGACGAGCCGGAGCCTGCTGCCGTGCGTCGACGTGCAAAAGGAACCGATTCACATATTGACATTCAATGAAGCCATGGCCCATCCCGGAGGAGTACACCGCCGACTGTGTAGACTGGACTGGGATCGGTGCATCCCCCGCAGGCGACGAGCTCCCCCTCTCCGCTGAGGCTGGACTCGAGCTCCCAGTCTCCGCCGAATCGCTTTTCGTCCTCTCCCGCGCTGTCGAGCACCACGAGCTGTTCGCCAGCGGACACGTCAAGTTCGTACAGTCCGGCAACGCGGACGCGATCAAGGTCGACGCGACGGCGTACTTCTATCACAAGGAGTACCTGGCGCATTCCAAGATGTGTCTGCTGACCAGCGGTCAAGGGGAGAGCGGCGTGGGGCTCTTCGTGCGTCCTCGTATGCCTTGCCCCCTTCCGTCCTGCTCACATATGCACTCAGACAAACTGGGCGTCCAAGCCGGACCACCGCCGCCATCGGCATGCGCGAGTGCGCTTGGATGTCACGCTCACCGTGCCCGCGGTCCAAGGCCTCCCACTCGAGCGTCTGTGGACCGACTTGACTGCCTTTGAGCAGAAGTTTGGGGATCTGAGTGCGATTGCTTTCGACTCGCTGAATATCAAAGGCGCTGTGGGTGCGATCTCGGCTGAGGTTAGTGCCTCTTTGTGTGAGATCAGACTCTCGTGCTGATCAGTTACAGGCTCTGCAAGCGAACGTTGCACACGTCACCACTAACGTGGGTTCCATCGAGCTAGCAAGGCTCAGCGCTACCTCCGCAAATGTCACCACTTCGGCCGGTCAGGTCACGGGCTCGTTTTCGGCGTCAGAATCTCTCGGTCTGGTCACCTCGACTGGATCGATTATTGCGCAAATTGAATTGTCGGACGACGCTGCTGATGGTCCTGCCCAGCTGGTTCTCCACACATCCGCCGGGTGCGTCTTGCCATCGCGTTTCTGACACTCCACTCACAACGTCCAAGATCGATCGACTCCACCGTGGCACTGTCCAGCACCAAGGGCGATTCAGCCTTCAACGTCACGGCAGAGACTTCGACTGGCAAGCTCACGCTCGCGGTGCCGTCTGCCCCCCTTGACTCAACGATTACCATCGACGCGCGGAATGGATTCGGGGCGGCGCGGGTGTCGCTGCCTCCCACTTTCGAAGGATCCCTGCGTGCGAAGACAAGCTTCGGCTCGACGTCCGTCAATGTCGCGGAAAAGGTTGAAGATCCTAGTGGCCAAGGCCGCAAGCGCCAAGTTTCCATCTCCACAAAGCGATCGAGCGTCGAGGGGAGTGTTGGCTGGAGCACAGAAGGTCTGAGCAGGGGAAGCGTGAATGTCGAGACGAATGTTGCGGGTGTCACATTAGACATTTGAAGACAAAGATACAGGGCTTTCCCGTTCCAATTTTGAAGATCATGTACCTGAGCTCGGATTGGGAACCCTGCTTGAACTGCTTGTCGTGGGCTAGTTAATAACTGGGGTGTACTGGAATTGATGAGTAATGTCGCGAGCCCTGAATCCGTGCAACTTCAATGAAATTCCGCGCAAGTCGTGGTTGTGGTCTAGGTTCTCCGTATACGACATGAAAGTGCGCCGAAGTTTTCCTATGTGAATGTGAATGAAGGGGATATATGCAGCAGTGGCTCTCGGGATTCACTATGTCATCCCCATCCATTTGCCAAGGTGATAGCTGTGGACCACAAAAATTTATGTGAAACACCAAAACGTGATTGGAGTGGGATTCGAACCCACGCCCTTTCGGACTAGATTGCATGTTGCCATACAAGTTGCTCTCCTACGGAGATAATCCTTAGTCTAGCGCCTTAGACCGCTCGGCCATCCAACCGATGGGCGCCAATGCCCTGGCGGTATCATATCCTGCTTGTCAATGTTACCTAATCTCCTTCTTGACAGGCTCGTTCTGTTTTACACTTCAAAGAACAAATACAATCGGAAAAACTAGTCTATGCTCGTCCATGATAGTGCTAGCTCAAGAGACAAATAAGAAGTGGCCAGATTCAAAGCAATAGTGTAACACGTAACATGTACTAAACTAGGAGACGCAGCGTAAGTTAAAGAGGGCCCAGTATGATTCACTAGTAAGTACAGATATCCCAAAAATACAGGTTTCAGTGGATCAGAAATCCCGCAGAAGTCGGCGAGACTGGCTCGCTCAGCCTGCGATTCCGTTTTTGGCCAAGCGTCGAATGCGCCGGTGCCCGTAGCGGAATAATCGGCCGGTCTGCAAACGAGTTGAACGTCGCCACCGCGGCTGGTGCTGCAGGCTCCAGGGAGCCCGCAGCCGGGATGCTACGAGTCGCGCTGATGCCGCCTGGGAACGATCCATCAGGCCGGTCTTTCCGCCGCTTCGCGTGCAAAGACTCTAATGTCTGGCTCGGCAGTCGTTTAAAGGAAGGTCTGGCGGAGCCGCCGCCGCTGGAGGAACCGTCATCCCCATCTCCGTCGTCGGACGTCGTGGAGTTTGGTGTGCCCGGGTATGGGGACCCTGGTGCGGAGCCTGTAGGGACCAGGGCTCCGGCCAGTGAACTTGTGGTGCCGACATCGACTGGATGGTCTGGCGGCTGTCCGCTGGTGGTTCCCCGCCTTGCAGGCTTCCGCAGGGTGAGTTCGGGGGCTTTCCTCGCGAGCACGGCAGCTTCGTACGACCGCAGATCCTCTGCGTTGTGCATCGTCCTCGAGGCGGGTTGTGCAAGTGGAACCTGAGAATGGTGATGCTGCCATGAGCTGGTCTCGACTTCGGGTGTCCTGACGCTCGGCAAACTCGAAACGCGCTGTCGGCGTCCTGTAGGAAGACAACCAAGCATCCCCCCACCAGCCTGTATCGCCGCAGCCGCACTTGCACTGGGCGTCTCCATCCCCAGTCCGTCAGCCGGCCCGGTAAGCGGCGTGCGCATGTACGTCTTCCAGAACTCGCGCAATTCCCGGGTCTCGGCCTCTCTTGATCCAGGAGTCTGGGGAGGCGGTCCACCCGGCGATGGGTAGCTGTAGTTCATTGGTGGCGGCATCACCAATCGCTTGTCTGGGTGCGCTAGCGGCGTGAGCCCAGAGCCAGGTGTAAGTCCGGTACGAGCCGTCGATGTAGTCCCGCTGAAGAATGGCACGCCGTCCTG